TGAAGGTGGGAGATTAAATTCAATCCGCGCGGGGATTGTTTCGTTCTCTCGCTCTCGTCCGCGCGCGGTCGGTATCTTTATCTGCATTTCCAAAGCAAGGTCGTGTAACAACGCATTACCACCCGCCGTCATTTCCGCGGCTTTCGATTGCGAATTGCCATCTCCGACTGCCGTCTCCCGGCACATGCGTCCCGGCCTGTCGTGACGTCACTATGGTTACATGACCAACACGCGAGAACAGTACAACAGAGGGATGTAGGCAATCATAAGTTCCATAGACAATGATAGAATACCTTCATCTCACCTCCAAAGGGGGGGGGGGAGTTCGAGAGTTCGAGATACATGTCAAATTAAAGCATATTTCTTCATATGTCTTTTTTCCTTTTCCATTTTCGCTGAGTGGACCAACGACCCTTGCGGATATTTCTGTCTTGAGATGATCACCCTATACATACACCCACACACACAAACCAGTCGTAAAGACAATCGCCATTTTGAAAACTGCGTGATATCTCCACTGAAAAAAATATGAAAAATAGAGCAGCAGCACATCGGGATTATCCACTTCTAAGATGCATGTCCCCTCAGAATGATGAAATTTACATTGGCCTTTTAAAACCAGAAAGATTTCCTAACGGCATGCAGACATTGAAGTGGAACACATTTCGAATCGCACAGATTCCAAAGACCAACATTCTTCTTGAATCAAATTTTGAAACTATGAATAAAATGCAAGGCTGAAAAGTGAACGTTTTGTTGTTTTCGTAATTTAGATCCATTATTAATGACATCTCATTAAATCAGTGGCTTTTTAATTAACAAGGATTCCTACCTAGACCAACATGTCCATTTTCAATAAATTCTAGGTCTATTGATTTTAATGACGTCCGTGGAGGCATTGAAAGTTATGAAGGATATGGGAAGCCTTCCTTTCAGAGAGAATTAGAGATAATTGAATTTTCAATGACAGGTATATAATTATGATATGCAATCTGAACTGGTTGGTTATGTTGGGAAAAACTGGGGAATATCACATACATAATTAGCTCAGATAACGAAAATTTAAAAAGAATCTTCAAGCACGACGCGTTTTTTGTTGCAAATTGCTACTATTCAATACTAAAGATACATTTAATTTCGGATTTGTTTACTTGTTTTCAAGAGAGACAACTTGCGATATAAAGTCAGCTCAGGGCACTGAGAATATTGTTTCAGAAACTCTACTTTCAACAAATTAGGAGTATCAGAAGAAACTGAAGTCAAATTGGCCCGATATTTTTCAAACGGTTTTTTTTTTCGTATGTAGTTCTTGTGGAATCTCATACTGCAGTACACTACATCACAAACAGATGTAGGGATCAGACTGAAGCACCGAATGGGCTTAAACAAAAACAGGAGACGGGAAATAGGTTCGATTAAACTAACAGAAAGCTAAAAGTTTTTCCCCAATTTGCTCACTCACATTGCGTGTCAAGATATCCCGTGAACAATTCAATTTCCCGTCCCAATAGAAGTGCACGAGTAACCGTTCAGGCCCGCCTCACAAGAGAAATCAATTATGGTATATTATGTTGTACAAGTGTTTGGCAAAGTTGCATAATGATTGCACCGACCACGTGACGGGGGAAATCGATTTTCCTCAGGGCAAATCAATCATATTATATGAACGTAGCTGACGGGTTTCACTGGAGATCGTGACCGCTCACAATTCATTTTTTTTGTGAATTTTCTTTGTTCGTTCGCTTTTCATTAATATCAGTGGATTGCGGGCACACAGTGGCACGATGAACGAGCATCGGCAAGAAGCATTTATAACACTGTAATCATCCAACCAACAAACAGGTTATCGAATGGAAAAGGTTCGTTCTCCGGCAGCTCTGTCTACTCCGGAGAACCAACCGACATATTTGCCTATGGCCGTCTCGTAATTAAACAGCCTTGAAATCAGCAAGTCGTGAGAACGACAGAGAAATAAATTATGCATTCAAACAACTGACGGACTGCTCGGGTTAAGGAAAAATCAGATCTGCCATCCAACCATCTGGCATAAGAAACTAAACAAAGCACCAGAGAGAGCCAGCAAAACGACCATCCCGCCAATAGATCGATGAACCAACCAACCAGCCAGCCCGGCGACGGTCTACCTGCCCGTCAAACTCTAGATGGCCAATCACGACCCAAAGATCCACTTCATCAAACATGCTTCAAAAGCTTTGAAACACAAGTTACCATTGCTGGTATAGTGTGAAAAGAATCTTTCTCTCCTTGTGTAAAAAAAGAAGACAAATTCGCCTTTACTTTGTACCTGGGCTTCGAAATTGAATTCGTTGTCGTACGGGAGGTAAACATGCAAACCAACAGTGTTTGTCGGTCACGTTTTGCTTTGAAAGCAGTAGTAGACCCAGAAATATACGTGAGCAACCGTTTTTAGCACTTGGCGATAATATGTTGATTCAATTTACAGGTTCGGTAAAATCGTCTGACCCAGAAATTATTTTTGCACTCCGCAGAACATTTTTATAAAGAAAACGCACGATGGGAGGCTGTTTCTGAGTGTGGAAAAAGAATTTGCCGAATTAACATTTTGAGGTACGCGAAAACCGTTTCGCTCAACTTGATCACAATCGTCAGCAGAATAAATGACCGTCGCGCTCTCTCTCTCTCTCTCATACGTAGACCGTGAGAATGGCACTGTCGGTGATTTCTACATTGATTTACGCGTTAATGCAAGAGATAAGAATACATGTATATACGATACTTTTCTTTGCATAAAAGTGACTGAAATTCGCACCATGTACGTACGTGCACATAGGTACATGTACCATGAAAGAGTTCACCCATCTGCGTTTACTTCGGTTTCACAACGCCGATGACGGATCCGACACTTTAAAGGGTTTGCATGGCTGCCATCTTGCAGGTCGGCGCTTTTGTGGCACAAGGTATGCACAAAGGAGGTTTACAAGACTACTGGGGTCCTGGGTTCAGGTCCCCGGAGCTTTGATGCCTCGTAACCCACAGTTCCAAGTCCTCAGTCCCACAGGATAAACCTACACAGGCGTGCCATCACGCCATGAAATGGAAAAATGGTTCGGCAAGAGCACTGATAATATGAATACATGGCTTAACACGATTGAAGCAAATAAGCAAGTTCTAATATACGATGTAGGCCTACATATATTTTTCTCTGCGTCGAAAAAACTCCGAGATACGGCGGATGTAGTGTGGTGGACAGTTACAGAGGTACATATTTCTTTTACGTAAAAGCCTATTCTTTGGGCAAGAAATAGTTTGCCCTTCGAGATAATACGATCTTCCGACTTCACCGACTTCGAGTTATCATAACTTTTGTTGGCTTGGAAAATAGGGCAAAAGCTGCTGCACGGCTCACGCAGGACAATCATCCAGCCCGCAAAAATTATTAAACTCGAGGACTTAAAATTCATTTCTATGATGACACTCGTTAGCATTAGGACTATTAAGTTTAGTGGAACCATTGACACACATGCTGTGTGGGCGCTTCAGCACGCAGTACGATGACCTTCGTGGTTCGATCATTAGCGCTGTGGTGCGGCTTACACGCCGACTTTATGTCCTATTATTTGCTGCGTTTTTGCGTGCTGCCGCTCATACACCGTGCGGCTTACATTCCAAACATTGAGGTACATTCTTTTAACTGTCCTTCTGATTTTTCCCCCCGGAACTTAATTTCAAAATATAAGATCAGGCATGAACAAATTAGCTCTGGTAGAACTCAACAAAAAGCGGCACCCGAGTAAATTAAATTGAAATCCACACTTCACTTTCGGATGGATTGCATTTCAGAATATTAACAGCTACACGAAACACTAAAAATCGAATTTGAGTAACCATTCAGTAATCAAATGGGAAATGAGCACCTCGTATGCAGTTATACGCCGTTGATGATTTACGTTAAATTTAATGCAAATCGAAACGATCTGCGAAAAATGAGCTCTGACGAGTCAAGCCCGCACGCGCACAGCGGAAAGACGCCGCTTCAATCGCGGGAAACAGATCCGTTTTTCGTTTGGAGACTGACTTCACAAAATCGTTTCCATGGGAGCGGAGATGCATACGATTACCGTCCCCAGGGGAACAGGTTTTTATATGCGGTGGGTCAGCATCAACTTTATAGAGACTGTCAGGAATCCGTCTCGCATATTTCTGAATGGTAATTACCGTTTAATGGCAAAGCACGGATAGTGACAAAAAAGACGGATGACCTCCTGCTAACGCGAGATGAATACAGTCAATTCACAGTGAAACGCCCAAAGAGTCTGCAACGCGTTGGCCACTCACAACGCGCGAAATTTGTCGACCTTTTCCGAACGCGCATCGGGTCGACATATTTCGCGCACTTTGATTGGCCAATGCGTTGCAAACTCTTTATGGCGCACTATTGTGAATCGCCCGTATTAAATATATTACAATTTTTCGACCAGTAATGCGATTCAACTCCAGCCGAGACAACACTGCTGCCTGCTGGCTTTGTATACAATTAATGCAACAAAGGTGCCGCCAGTAAATATTCCTTGAAGGTTTCATGGAGCTGAGATGTTTGGGGAGTGCTGCTTGATGATTAAATCGTGTAAAAAGTTATTGAAGTGCAGTTGAATCCACAATGTTCAAACAACAACATTTTGAACGGTCTCTACTATTTCCACTGAGACGCGGAATCTTTGCGTCATTTCCCGTCAGGAATCAAAGTTTTGCCCCACTCCTGTGGAGCTTACCGCACATTTCACACAACCAAAATAACAGGCGCTGTGAAAGATGTAACCAGGCATCAAGGGACCCGGCTTGCGAAACAACACGCGATGGGAAAATCCATTTTCATATCGACAGTCGAGTCGAGTTGCCCCAGGAACGAGTCGCTGCACGCCACCCCCGCGGGAGTGAATCGTGCCGGTCCGAGCGGCACGCACCCCCGCATAATCAAGGGAGAGGGACGCGGTATGCGCATCGTAGATTGGGAGCTCTGCCCGAGATCGGATTTTCATTATAAAATTACAAGCTGAGCCGACAAGGCTGCCGAACAGGTTATTCGGAGGTATAGGAGCGCTTGGCGACGCGACGAGTTGTGTTTAGTCGATAAAAAGCTCAACGGAGAGGAGGGCGAGCATTGCAGGTGTTGCAATTGGGGAATCAGGAGCCGACAGCGCCGTCACCATGCCTTCACCATTCTCGCGTGCCAATGCCGCGCGATCATCGGCCGTGATGTTTCTCCTGTTCCAGCTTCGTTTGGGAGCGGTTATGGCCAACGGTGCAGCGACCACGCCCGTGTGGAACGTGGGTCGGAACGGGAATCGTTCAGACCCGCCCCGACCGCTGGACGTGGTTGCACTCGGCGAAGGGACCGAGGACGGGGAAGAGAACGTCGTCGCGGCGGTGGAGCCCGGGGATGTCGTCCTAGGGGGACTGTTCATGATCCACCAAGCGGGCGAGGGGGGCGAGTGCGGGGCGCTGGCCAACCAGATGGGCCTGCAGGCACTGGAGGCCATGCTATACACGGTGGACGCCATCAACAACTCCACCTTCCTGCCGGGATTTAAACTGGGCGTCCGGGCGCTGGACGACTGCAACCAGGAGTCCCGGTCGCTGGAGCGGTCACTGGAGTTTGTGCGCCGGCCCGTCTGCGAGAACGACTCTGGGGTCGGGCAGGGTCAGGGACAGAGTCCCGAGTCGGCCCAGGTAGTGGGCGTGGTGGGCTCTGCCTCCAGCCTCAGTTCCATCACGGTGGCCAACTTGCTGAAACTGTTCAAGATGCCACAGGTAAGTTGAAGTGGGAAGTTGGGCTTTTCCAACTTTCAGAAACTTCAAAATACTCAGCTCCTTTGAGTAGAAATCAACCGTTAGTGATTTTTGCATACTCAGCATAATTGGCTTGCCAGTCGAAACAAAAGTCGTGCTGTTATTAAGCTATCCATTGCCTCTTACTGAAATTAAATGAGAACCACCATCTTCAATTAGTGGACTTTTCTTCCGCTGAGCAGTTGTGGAAAGGCAAAGGGCCAATCCCATTATAATGGATGCCCCCAAATGTTGCCTCAACAGGCGGGAGTTCTGCTTTAAAAAGCCGCATCACTAAACACGTGCTGCAAGTTTTCTTGTTTCCTTCCCTTTTTCTTTCTTAAAATCAATTTCTGCTTAGCCACTTTGCTAGGCTGGTTACATTTATGATACATGGACCCAACTCACTGAGCGTCTGTACTCGAAGCGCTTGTCCGAAAACAGGTCTTCTCTCGTCAGCCGCTCCACAAAAGATCAAAAATAACACATGAAACGAAGCTCGAATCCCACCCCAAAACGCAATCTAATAAAGCGCCTTCCCATGGGGGTATTTGCACTCCCTCGAACTGGAATCAATTTATTGTTTTCACTCTATCAAAAATTCCCCCACGCATGCGGTAAAATGACGATTTATCACTGAAGCACAAGGTTAAACACTAACAGACACGACATATCGCTTTTCACTGACAACCGTTATAGTCAGCGGTATGATAAACGAGTCGTCGGGGTTGTCAATTAATTCCTAGAGCGAGAAAAGGAAGAACGCGTCTACCCTCGTGTCTTCCCCCAGGATGGCCGACAATGTTTTCCCGGGGGCTCGCTCAAATGAAATGCATGTCGGTTCGGGAAAACAAAGTCCAAAAATTTATTGGTTCGCTATTAAGATACGACGAAGAGGAAGTTTTGAAAATTAGAAGAGCCTACCTTTTTTTGCGGAATGACACGGTGCTAACAGTTTGCAACACACATTCTGGGCATCAATTAATGCTGTTTTTTTGTGATACGCCACCAAGGGCGTCAATCCGTTATGAAAAGTAGGGGGGAATAGCCCTGATCAGAACAAATGCGAGTGCGAAGTCCTGAGCGGCGTAGGGTCCGGGGCCTGTGGAGTATATAGTAGATGCTTGGTGGTGTCATCCGAGACAATTTCTAGCTATTTCGCCATTTTTTGTAACAAATTCGTTTGCAAGGTTATACATTTTCCGGGGCCCGTGGAGTATACAATAGATGCCCTGTGGTGTGATCCCAGACAACTTCTGGCTACTTCAGCCATTTTTTTAACAAATGTTTTTGCAAGATTATACATTTTCATTTAAGTTTTGAAAAAAAGTGTGCAATGGTGGTGCGCACACTTGTTATATATTAGCGAAACGCGTGAATTTTTACAGTGATCGGACAACGAACATCCTGCGATATGCGCCGAATGCGCTGAATATACGGTTATGACAGACTTGAACTTCGCTGGTGCGGACGGGAACTTTCTACAAGAAGCTTGCTGCGCTGGGTTTTTTCCTCTGCATGAATGCAACACTTGCATTAAGTTGGGAATTTCGAGACCAGTGTGGTTAAATCCTCCAAATTAATCAAAAAAGAAAGAATTACATATATTTAAACTCAACCTGCTTTGGCACAAAAATATAAGTACCGAACTTATATGTGGAAAGCTGACCTGCCGACTGCAGTCGAGGAAAACTTGCCGAGACGAACCCAATCAAACACAAGGCAGCAAAACATTTGACGAGGTTAATGCTAATTGCATTTATTACACAAACAGGTCCTGTAAAGGAAACAGTCTTGTAACTCTTCTTTGCCGAGTTCATTTCTGTTACCTTGGCAACGGTGTCTGTAAAGTGGGGACGCAATAAAAAATATCAAAACCAATTACGAAAAATATCAGCAAAAGAATCGAGAAAAATCCATCCGCCATCTTGGAAAAATCCACCATCTTTTAGGCCTAACCAGGGGCTGTCTCCGTCCATAAAAACGGTCAAGATTCGAAAACTCTTCTTGGGCCGTGTCCGAAACGGGCTTCCAGAGCTACGGCTAGGTCTATTATCTGCGCGTCTCAACGTATTTTCAATGGAGTGAAGACCTAGACCTAGCTCTAGACAACAGAGTCGGTTGCAGCCTAGTTTGTACAGGTACCAATCCATTCTTGTAATCGTATCTTCAAGAAGCCCCCCTCCCTTGGTAATGGCTACAACACCCTACCGCCCCGGGCAACTGTTTGTACAAACACTGCATAATGCCTACGAATTCCGTCATTACCGGGGGGCACTTCGAGTGCGGCGGTCTCGTGCTCCGATTGGTCTCTGCCGACAATCGATTAAGTCGAGTTCCCAATCTTTTATTATTTAAGAACGTGAACATAAGTCGCAAGTAGATGGGTAGCGGGGCAGTTTTGTGCTCGTAATACGTGTAGTTACTTCAAGCTTATCTGCTCGTCAAGTCGTGACGTTTCTCTGACGTAAAGTGGCTCGAACGTGGAAGCATCAACTGTCATGGGACACCGTGCGTCTGGGGGCTGGACTTGGTCGTCGCTGTTGGCTACCTCTCTCCCGGGGTCGGTTACCTCGTCCCCGTTGGCACAGGTAGCACGCACCCACATTCATTCCACTTGGCTCCGCGCTGCCGTTGACCGTGGAAGAAGAGCCCATCAGGATCGGTTGTTGTGACGTATGTACCGGGCGGTTCCAGCGTAACTGCGCAATAAAAATAGGAAGCTCGTCAAATCGATGCCACCAATGCAACATGGTACAAACTCACCTTTTCAATACAATGTAGTGGGTCTTAGTAAACGCGTATCAGCGAACAGGACACACATAGCTTGCAAATACGGGTTTGGCAATACATGTAGCTATGACGGCCACTTCGGGACATACCACAAAATTGTAAAGGGACACTAAAATGGTACCACTGATGTCGTTTAATGAGTGATTGCATCGGTTGACGAGGATGAAATGGCACTTCTAAGACACTACTCTCTGCAGATTCCAACCCGTCTTGTATTAACACAAATACTTCTTTTGCAACGTCACTAAATTCTTCAAGCACTACATTTGGCAAACCATATAGCTGGTGGCTGGTGGTAAGTTCACATAAAACGTTCGAAATACCACGCTGCTGTAGTAAGCAGGCGATGACAACACTATAGCACTTACTGTACTAAAATGAAAAAAGTACCTGTTGAATGGCAATAGTCTTGAATGTTCCCGGGGGGGGGGAACTGTTGCCAACCGTCGTGACATAGAATGTTGGCTAACTTTGACCAGCAATATAAGATGCCATTAATGTTTGTGAGTGAAAAAGTCCGTTTTTTTCCAGGCCTTCATTTCATTAACCTTAACAGTCCCAAATCCTCCAATTTCAATACGACTTTACGTACACCCTTGTGGGTTAGGGTTAAACTATCAATTTATATTCTGCTGCAATTACCGCTACTGCAAACAAAACTTCCTTAGTATACGACACAAACCTGGATATAGTGCATACTCTTTTGATACGTCTTTTAAATGAAATGCAACTGACGAGTGTGCAAAGGGGTAGTGATTTTTACTTTCTGTTAAAGGCCCAGGGTAGTTCATGTATCATAATATACCAGGCAAGATATGGGGCGGAAGGTTACCCCCCCCCATGTCCAATCCCTGTACATACTGTAGACTATTGTTACCTAACACATCCCCCCTAGAAGTCTGTAAAGAATTCCTGAGATGCCGATCAAACAATGGCCAACACAAAGGCGGGGGGGTGGGTTCTCTCCGTCCCATATCTTGCTTCAAATGTGTAATAAACGGACACCACATGAAAAAGACCCTTCCAAGTGGTACACAGATGCATGGGTAGTGTGGGACGGATCACATAGTAAATCGGTAAAGCTTTTTGTGCGTCCTGGCGACCGCAACACCATTTTGAGAGGTAGGTTTGTGCGCTGAAAGCTACAGCCTGGGCCCCTCCTGAACAAATACGTCCACGGCAGGAAGACGTTCACCTGCAGCCTGTGTGCACGGTGAAGAGTATTTAACTTTCTCAACGCGCCGCGCTGCCGTGCGAAGATCGCCCTTCTGTTGGCAAAACAATCTTCTTCCACTCAAATGGGAATTCATGACCGGCGAATTCCGCGTGTGCAAGTGCGAGAGCTGGCCGAAAATTTCCTTGAGCCGCTGAGACCATGGTAACAATATGAATAATAATGTCGCGACCCAGTCCAATTTGGGAGCAACAATTGAATACGTTTGGCTGATCGCTACCGTGTTTTTTTTAAATGGGGGGGGGCAGCAATAAGTGGAGAAAAACCCCAAGATGTCTCGATCAGCTGTTCAGCGAATTAAACCACAAAACACGCTTGCTCTTAGGAGCGAGTGAGTTTTCATGAGCGGTCAAGTAAATGCGTAACACACCAGCCGAATGTTAAACTTCCATGAGTTCGCTTAATATGCCTTCAAAAACTCGGACACTGAGCGGCCTGATATGCAAAACTCTTATTACATCCACAACCTGAAACGGTTCAAAGCCGCTCAATGGCACGTAAGTATCCCCTCAGTTCGACGAGGGATAGGTATGCATCCTGCGTAAAGCCCAACCGTGCTTGATTTCACACGTAGGCCAAGAGAAAAGAGAAGCCTTTGTGAGATACAAATCAGGGACGATCGGAGGACTCTCTGGGGACTGCAAACGTACACCTCTCTGCACGGTCGAAGGAAGACCGCGTCAGGCAGACGATCTTCAGCTTTTGATATCGCCATTGAAATTAAGAACACTCGCCAATAATTTGAGAGGCGCCGAACAGCGGGCACGGGGACATTCATCGCAAGTCAACACACAATCAAGTCTCAGAGTTCCTTTTTGAAGACCGACGCCGCTTTCTCCCCGACCGTTACGATGTAACAGTACCCTCTCGAAGAGCGTACGTGACCAACCGTGCATGCCCGATGAGAGTCCAAATTCGTTACATTTCATTGTTCACTTCATTAATTGACAATATGGTTGCTTTTAACAAACACGTGTACAGTGTACATTACTTTGTAAGTGATACTGTTGCACGGGCGACGTAATCTCAATACGTCAAAAATTAAAAAAAAAATTAGAAAAACCACAAAAAGATAAGGCTTCCGGATAATGAATTACATTTCCAAGAATGTCCGAGGGGCTGACGGTGGAGTGGGATAATGAAGCCAAGTTCGCGGAGAGTTCAGGCCCCATTCAGGTCCGAGGCAAGATGGGTCAAAGCTGACATCTGAACCCCGCCAACACTGACGACAAGTTGCTGTTATATCAATCAAAAATATTAATACGATCGACGCGATTGTAAAAAAAAGTCACGCCGCCGCCGATTACGAACCGGCGGCGTTGCCCGTCGCGTCATTCCGAGACTCGCGAGAAATGCACACTCCTTGGTCGATGACGAAAAGATGGAGGGTGATGAGAGATGTGCTTGGTTACTGAAAAATGTGGTAAATGTTGAAGTAAGGTGAAGGTCATGTCAAATGTGAACTTTTGACGGCTTTTTTGTTCCAACAAGTGTTGGTTATTTCACTCGAGCGTGACTCTGTTTTCACAACACAAAACAAAAGTACCTTGCAGGTGAGCATGGATATTGACACGGAGGTTTCGATCAAGTAGAAATTAAACACCTGTCGCCAATCACTCATTTTGCATCAGTTTTAACCCTAACCCTCCTCAACCCTTCACCTGTTGGAGGACTGACGAGTGTTAGGGTTCATACTGCTGACGAAATCAACATTTTCAGTTGTAACAATACCAGTTGACACGTTGCATGAACTGCGAGCATTTACCGAAATCCTTGGTCTGTGTGCTCATACAAAACGTTATTAAAAACACACACACAGACCACGAAACTAAACTCCTCGTTGAGCCCATACCGTGTTAAAAGTCCTCTGATGTCGTTGCCACAACTATTTTAACGATGGTGTTTTTCGTGACTTCAAGCCAAGGTCACGACCGACTGTGAAGCGCAGGTGACCCGAATGGCTGGGGCGCACGTGTGTAGCATGTGTGGTCGGCTCGGTTCGCGGTATGTAATGTGAAACAGCTTGGACGACAAAAAAAATAAGGACTTTTGAAAACCTGATCATGTTCCACCCTATCTGAGTTACTCTGGCAACACAGATACTACGGGATCACATATCGTGACGAATCATCTTTCTGTTTAATGTTCCCGCGACTTTTCCATGCATGAGCTAGATATTTTGCAATATTTTAGCTACCAAAATAACCCTTTTTTTCAGTTACCGAGATATCAACACGGCCACCGATGCTGTATGTTGACTGCTGTCTTGATTCCCCGCGCAGTTTAGTTTGCGTGTCAGTTTGGCCGTTTCCTTGTTTTTCAAGGATCGGCCTATATCAGTGCGTCGATCCCATTTTACAAGGCTGGAGTGATGCATTACCTGCTCCGTCTCAACACACGGCCTGGTATATTTACACAATTTTAACAGAATTAACCCACACAGTAAGCCCTCTGTTCGGCTCAATCGAATATCTTAACGACGACTGGCCAGTTTCTGCTCCTCGTTTTGTTTCTCTGTTCCCTGTTTGGCAAGACGTCATTAGCCACTTTCAATTTGTGGTTCTCGATCTAATAAGATATCCCGGCGTTTATTCCAGTGGAAAAGGGCAAGGCTTGTAATTTGTCTTGGTTAGTGCACGAGTCGCGGCTTCCTATTTAGAGCGTGTAATGGATGGTTTATACTCCTGTACGCCCGGTAACTTTTACTAAGGAACCGATCGGAGGGACCAAAGGTTGATAGGCCCCGAGCCCCCCCCCCCATCTTGCCTTCTGGGACAGTCATCGGGCTCGTTTCGGCACTCGACAAAGTTCTAAATTAAGCCCTTTTACCACTCCGATATCAAAGGCCGAGTGGCCTGAAACATTCCTCATGCTGTTCACTTGTGCTACTTCTGTCAGTTCATGGTTTACATTAATACACAATACGCCAGTTACTGTAACAACGGCTGAGATCTGCTTTTGACTTTTTTGCTAACTTAAATTCACCGTGCTCCTTGAACCTCAGGTTTTGCCTTAATATCCCGCGACTGAGACTTATTGAATAGGCCTACACAAACTGAAGATATTACCGTCTATCTTAAGGTTCTCATTGAATCTGTAAATGTACTTGCACCATTCCTTTAATGAGGAAGTTATCTCGAAAACGGAATTGTGCAGTAAAATTTTAGAATTGCGGTCTCGTGCTGACTCTGCACATGTACTATGTGTGAAAGCCCATCAACGACTACATTGTTACGCCCACACAATCTCCAACAAGACTTCGACGTCTATGTCAGTTTTTCCATCATCTCGTCTCCGCAATCGGATCATTGAATGTCACATTTTTATCAGTTCTCCCCAAAGTAAAATTACACCGTAGACAACCTTAACCTCAAGGGAAATGTGCTTGAGCCGAGTATTCTGAGCCTTTCACCGTCTCGACTCATCAGCTTTGAAGAGGCCTCCCTTCATCTCGGATTTTCTTCCTAATTTGGTGCCACTGAAGGGTCTGCACGAGTACTATACTATACGTGTTTTCAACCAGAATGGTAAGAAATGTGTTCACATGCATAATATGGAACAATGAGGCATGACGGTCGAGTCCAAGTGGTAATCAGCACGGTCACAACGCGATCCAGGTGTGCCGGAGTGGGAACCAGCGAGTCCAACCGCCTCACTGCAAGACCTGCACTGGTCGAAGCGCAAGAAGCAGACGCGAACTGACGTCGGAATGGAGACAATTCCCCCTGCGCCATCCCCCGGGGGGCTTTAAACGTCGCCCCCATAATAACCGCCACGGCACCACATTACAGGCAAAATATCGAATTGCCCACCAGACTTCCCATCGGCAAACTTTTCTTCAGTTAACATTCTGACAACACCGACGAGCTCCCCCAAACGCTAGGGCGCCAAACACGATTAATCAGTGAATAATGAAAGAAAACATTCTGTTTTTAATCAAATTGACTGCTAATTAGTATTTCACACGCGACGAGCCAAATGCGTCATCGACAGTCGAGGGACAATACTTCTGGCTGAAACTCCGGGAAAAATAACGTCATTGGGATATCAGCCCCGCCAACGCCCCTGTAGTTTGCGGTTACAAGGTGGCTTTTCAACAATAAATTCTCGGAGGGGAGGTCGTTTCAGACTTCTTGTCATATGCGTGGACTGTTTTTGTGTGTGGGGGGGGGTTACGAATTCTGGCGCATTGTTAGCTCAAAAACACCCTTGATAAGCAAATACGACACCAAGAGAGAAAATTTAAAAAAACACCTACAACAGAGAATCGGCTCAGAATGACACCAACGCAGACTTCCACGGCAAATCAAAAGGCAGCAAATATTTCCTAATTCCTAATCCCAGTTTGCTCAGGATGCTGCACTTAATTTCGTGATGCAAAATTAAATATCTTGTCCGCTGTTAAGGTCTACCATTATTTGCCCGATTCCTGATTTTGTTTCTGATCATCAGTTTTTATAAGCTAACCTCAAACAAAAGCTTCTTCGGTCTCCTGCAGAGAGTGGAGAGTAATTGCCCTATTACTGCTCGCGGGCGCAAGTCCAAAAGAATCCTGCATGTGGCTTCTCGGGTAGGATTTTATTCGCAACCATAACGTGATAACGTCGGAGGACGTGGCAACGTGCCACACAGCTCGATCAACACAACTTGATGTGCCAAAAAAGACTTATCAGAACTCTGAGAAATCTGTCTCGAGGCTGTCAAATTGAAGATCCAAACCTTGTCAAAGAAAACAAAGTGGACCTGCGTCATCAGAAGTCCCGGAGCAGCAGATGCGATGTTACAAATTGGCCATATTACTGTAATAACCCAATCCGCGGGAGAGCCCAAGGCCGGCCTGGATTGCAATCCAAGTTCGATATTCGACATAACATTTTTCAGTCTTTCAGCAGTTAATAATGCTATCTACTGAAGATAGCCCGGCGCCTTGGAGGGAAATGCATCGCGCGCGTCTAATACTCGCCCGTTATCGCTCCTGCATGTGTTTTCTTGTGACCAGCCAGCTTTACCCAACTAATCTCGAGAGAGGCAAGTGCCCCCACTCTCGAGTTGTTTGTACAGCTACCAGACCTGAACCCCTTGGCCTAGATCCATAAACGGAAGCCCTACTCGCTACATCTCTTCCTTCGCATGGAGGGGGAAATCACAACATTCTTGGCCGTATCCCGCTCGCCCAGCATACGTCCACTTAAAAAGAAGGAAAAAAAAGGATGCCGCGGTTCGCCTTGTTAAGGGAATTGGTTCTCCGAAAGGACAGCACGTTTCCTCCTCGTAGACGAGTGCATGAAGTGATTTAACATGTATAGGGTGCAGTTCGATGGATTGCTGATCTGAATTCAGGAAAGCCAATTTTACTTTTAGCGGGTTGACAAGTAGGAGGTCTATGGTGATGGCATTAATTTGTGTCAGCCCTTTGCATGCATGATTACCCTAAATATTCCAAATGGATAACATTAGAGTCTGGAAACCAATAATAATCATCTGCAAAGACACTTGGATTCCTATTTCTTTTTTACCTCATCCCAACATGATTCATGATACCACTGCTTAAACTACATGCTACTTTGGTTTGTCAAAGTACAGCACGCAGACCAAGTAACGCCGCGTGGCACACTAACTTCGTAGCAAGAACCTTCATACCACACGACATCCCTAACTTGAGGAATGATCGGGTAATTAGTGCGTGGCTGTACGACACTGCTGTGATAAACTCTGGCCAAGTAAGAGTTTCATACTCTGAACACCCCCAGAAATATGTACAAAATGTACATGTACATAAAAGGCCCATCTCCATATTTAAGCCCAATAACACCAGGGATTTCTTGTCGTGGTATATACGCATGAAGCACCCCCCCGCGTTCAAAGTGTCCTCGTTCCGAGATAAGTTTGTTTTTAAGGGCTCGTAACATGTCAACGGCACGCTCAAGCTGTCCACCTCGTTCTTATTCGGCCATCAATTCATTCCTAAATTTGCAGGCACTGACAGATACGCACTCGACCAACTCTCCACGAACGCCGGCGGAAGGTAATTGAAGGGCGATGTTGTGTCGGTTTTGTCCCCCGGATAAAGTTTGAGTTGTGGTTTACCACCGGCTTGACTGTTCATTTAAAAACCGTTGCGAGGCTAAACAAATACATATCACCGTTTATGTGGTTTCGTGTTTGCATACAACCCTCTTTGTTCATTTCTGTCGGGGTGAAAGTCAGGGTTTTAAAAAAAGGCCTTAAAAATATGCACGAAAGGCCTGGTGTTCTTTTCGATTTGTTTTTCTTTAATATCCACTGTGATGCACATAGAGATTGCTGTGGTTATCGCAGACAAGGGAGTTGAATGATAATTACAGTTTCATGGCCAACGAGACTGTGCTACATTTTCAAACGGCTTTTGTTCCGTTTGTTTTTATTAAGTTATTACCAAGACGGGGCTCGTAATTGGAACCTTGAAAGCTTGGATGCGTGGAATAAAGGACCGAATCGATATTCGGAGATACAGAAGGCTCCCTCGTACAAAAGGCGCTTTGAAATATGGAAGACCACATAACATCATATTTCTCGCTGGAAATGAAGGCCGCATAACTCAGAATCGAATAGACATTACTTTTTCTTTTCATCGTGTAGAAAATTAAAGTTCCAATTTGGGCCTCAAGAAATATCACGTTTTAATACGGTGAACCGATGCCAGGATTAATTCCACCTGGTAGGCCTATTAATCAAGGTACAGATGGTGCCGAAGCAGTACCTGCCTATTTCATCTGGTATAGGACCCATTAATCAAGGTGCAGATGGCAACGATGCAATACCCGCCTTACAGTCTTATTTAACTCGTACAGGTGTACTTTTGTCATTCACGTTTACCCAGCACTGTCGCGATCCCTGTGAACATGCTGTTGGCAATACTGTGGTGGGAGCGGGTGGTCACGTGTCACGTTTATCGCAACCAATCAAAACTCTCTTACATGGGCAAGACGAGGTATTTTTTAAAAAATGCAAGGGCAAAGTGCATTTGACCTGCTGATATCCAACAAGTCAATTTTCAGCCAGGCATTGCACGCAACGTGTATGGCGTTTGCAGTCACGAGTATGTCCTATGGCATCAACGCCAAAAGAGCCATAGGCCTAAACCCTCGTCAGCCACCAAATAGGTGTTTTTTCCTCTCTCCCTCTCTCTTCCCTGCAGATCAGCTACTGGTCCACCAGTCCTGACCTGAGCGACACCCGCCGGTTCCCCTATTTCTTCCGCGCCGTGCCGTCCGATCAGTTCCAGGCCCAGGCCATGATCGACATCGTGCTGCACTTCAACTGGACCTACGTCTCCATCGTCTTCGAGAACTCCAACTACGGCGTGCAGGGGATCGAGGAAGTTAAGCGGCTGGCTGCCGACCACGACGTGTGCGTGGCAGTCAAGGAGATGATCCCAAGGGATGGGAACGATTCGGATTTCGACGGCATTGTGGCGAATCTGCTGAAGGCGACTGATGCACGAGGTAATAAGACAGACTTCATCTGTAGAAGGCTTTATTCCTCAAGGATAACAGCACCCCTGTCGTTAAAAAGTAAACGAACTCTATTTCTGTTGTGGCAAAGCAAGGAATTCCGTATAAACACTATTCCAGTAAAGCTAAGGCATGTTTCGAGCCTCCTAAACAAACCAAAATCGCATGACCAAAACGAATTGCGGGAAATACATGAACCAGCATCACTCCGCGGTACCAAACGAATGTTACTATAGGCCAAGTGAATCCGCAAACTGATGTCTAAGGACAGCTGGACGGCTATCTTTTCAACTTGTCCCCTTTTCATTACGATCAGACGACGGTTGAAACACACTCCTTTGCCGAACGAACCAGTATGAAAAGGCCGGGGCATACTTGACGCAGAGGAGGGTGGAATTCGACGTCAGAAACATTCACGAACTAACTCTGGGAACTGCTGGAGTGTTCTCAGTTTACTTTTGGCTCATTACCGACAGCACGGTTAATAATTGGCGTGACGTCACAAATTCACGTTCTCTCTAGCGCGGAGTATATAAAACGAGTAAGCAGATCCAAATTGAATCTATTAGCTAAATTAATGGTACAACGCACAATCCAGTCGAGAAAAGTTTATGCTATGGCCGATTTCCGACATAAATCTTGAGCACCGCTACGTGACGTCAACGTCTAGGGTGATTCTTTAATCGTGGCCGGCGTGGAAAGAGAGGACGGATCTTTAATCAGCGCAGACCCCCACTACTCCACGTGGAAATCTATACGTCCTGCCGTCGGCATTTCATTTGTAAAACCTAACCGACGAGAGCTCGGGCAGAGGTTCCCGACAGTTGACGAACAGGCAAAAAAAAAAAATTCGCTCCGCTCTGACCCTTCGACGACCCCGGGAATATTCACGGCAAGCAGCCGGAATCATCAACAGGACATTCACGCTGACCGCTCCAAATCAATTTCCGCTCCTGTCTTGTTCCACAGCTCTTGGCAGACCTGTAAACTGCGCTTTACAAGGCATGACAGATATGGATTGCGGCTGTAAAAATGGAGCAGCCTCCGCGGCGTCTTGTTATAACTCGATCACGCCGCGGTGCCGGTGGTCCGTGATAGATTTTCCTTACCCTGAAATGCGCATGTCACGCTGTGCGTGGTACAAAATACTGAGGCAAAACACGCGCTCGCACAGTTCGGACGAGGTGGAGATAATACACGAAGGGAAATGAGCACGTTTGCCGCCTGACCTTCGCAAAAATGTCTCCACGGAATGCAATCTTAAATGATTGAAGAGCGAAATGGGAGAGCAAGGATATGTATTTCATTTCAAAGGGGTTGTAGATCACTTCGATCACATTGACGGTCCAGATCTTTACCAAACAATGCTATAGCTTTGGCCCTCAAGAAATAAATTTCTGTCCGACTAGTGCTGCTTTAACCCCAACAGTACCGGGCGTTGTTTGGCTTAGTGTACTCTGTGCTACAAAATACTACGTAACACTCTGAGCCTGAAGGTCCTAGCGCTACAAATTACTATTTCTGGCTAGGTTTATTCCATTGTTACTCGTACAGAGAACAATGAAACCATGCATTCATAGTGCCACAGCACCTTATGGTACATTGTCTTTTCTGTTGCATTTTATGGCTTCAGAGAATAATAATGTCAAGTCCTCTTACAAGCGACAGGGCTGAGTACTACATTTTACTACTAAGGAGTACTTTGTAGCATTCGGGACTGTTAGGGTTAAAAAAGAAAAACGAAGAAATCGGAGAAACAAGACCATGTGAGTTCTTCCTCTGCTCGGAATTTCAAAGGGTCATTGCTGGTGAGGGTTTTACAAGTTTACAACCAGTAGGCCTAAACAAGCTGCCATAGACTATACAGATAAATACCTCCACTTCAAAAAATCAAGAAAAATACAAGTTTCTCAGGCGTTCGAGACACATATCAAATTAAAGTCCATTTCCTCATCTTTCACTGTTGATTTTGAGGATATTTCTCTCCAGAGAAGATCAACCCTAAGAAACAGTCATGAAGCTCACTGCCATTTTGAAAACTGATGCCTGCGTTACGCTCCTTCAAGGATTGCAGGGTCGCTTTGCTTGCCCAGAAATCGATAATATCGCCGGTTGCTTTGAGCGATTTAATACATGAATTCTGCTTTTGCCCCCAAAAGGATACGGTGTAAGTGAAATAAAAGGCCAGATGCGCTTAGCAAACACGTTTTCAATGGGAAAGACATCAAGCGGAAAGTGAAATATTCTCTAACATATTCAGCTGTTTGACTTTCCTACATGCAGCTGTCATTCTCTGGGCTCTGGACGAGTCGGCAGACAGGTTTTTTGAAGCCCTCAGGCGCGCCCACTCCACGCAGAAGTTCACATGGATCGGCAGCGACTCCTGGAGCGGGAGACAACTGTCCACGTTTGGCAACGAGGATCTGGTGGAGGGCGCTATTACCATACAACCCATGTCAGTTCCTCTACCGGGTAATTAATGATCGCATCATCAAATCAAGAATTTTTCCCCAAACCTCAACGACAGTTTTTCCCGTCAAGTCAGCAAAACACCATCAAACCAGTTCATAAGAAGATGGACCCTATCTCGCCAAACCGACATCGATCGATTCAGGCCACCCATTGGTGATACAGACGCACACCAAATCGGCCAGTTCCGAAACGAAACCAGAACTTCTAATTATCAATTTCGAGCCAAGCCCGTAATGACTGAGACCCAGAATAGATAGGCCAGTCAGTCCATCAGCAGGCAAAAAATCCCGCCCAAAATCGGCAGCTCAAACTACAGAAATAATTGCCGGATAAGCTGCCTGTCCAAAATGCACGAAACGGGCGCGAAACCGCGATAATCCCGGCAGCACAAAATTATGTCCAGACAAGGGCCATACTATTACCTCCGTGTTCCGTGTTTATTCTACTCCATGCAGGTTTCGACGACTACTTCACCAGCCTGAACCCCATGACCTATGACCGTAACCCCTGGTTCGGGGAGTTCTGGGAGGAGCATTTCAACTGCACCCTCCCGCGCAACACCAACACGACGGCCGTGCGTGGGCCCTCCAAGCGGCGTAGATGCCCGGAAAACTTGAAACTTGGGAGTGAAAACAACTACTCCCAAGAGGGTCAGGTGAGCGCTGTGCAAAGGCAAGGTTCAGACAGCCTAACCTTTTCGTGATCAAACAATGAGGTATTGAAACTGCAATGGAGGGGAAAAGAGTCTTCCCTCTTTCAAAATAATAAAAGCAAGTTCTGTCACTTAGCCGCCATTTTAAAATCTACATGCACATACATATGCACAATGACTGAGCACACTTGTCAGAACATTTGCGACCCGTCACGACAAAATGAGCGTCAAGCCGCATTCCTCTCTTTCCTATTTTGAAGGTTCAAAATAATATTGAAGTGGAGGTTAATTTGGGGATTTTGTAATGTTTGGAAAGACTAACTCGTCTCCTATTTAATTCCAAATATTTCGCAGCATCAAATAGTTAAAAATGTCATTTTCACAGCAGTTTTGACAATAGCATTATGCATGCCTGGTCTGAAATGTTGAAACAATGCCGGAACAAAGACGCAAAGCTGCCAGACTAATGTCACATTGTCACCTTATACTTCTACCCTAAGTGTTCCATGTATGTGCCATTGGAGAGCTCTTTTTCCGCTAAACTCAAAAATACCAATATCTCAATTTTTGAACATTCCGACTTTCAGCTCATTTTGTGGTGACAGGTCACATTTGAGTTATTCCCACCGGTGCATTTAAGCTGAAAACATTCTGGTCCAAGATCCTCAAAGCTAGAATTTCCCACAGTGCAAAGCTTCCTGTCGCATACATTCCAGATGGAATTCCAGGCTATTCATACATACATATACACATTCCAAGCGAGCACTTGAGCGGTATCCAGACGTCGAATTGAATGGAAGCAATTGTTTCATTTTCTTCCGTACCCGCAGATCCAATTTGTGGCAGACTCCGTCTGGGCATTTGCACACGCCCTCAGAGACATGCACAGAGCCCACTGCTCGGGGGACGGTCTTTGTAAACGGATGCAGCCGGTCAAGGGGCACGAGCTGAGGGAGTTTCTCCGAAATGTCTCCTTCCAAGGTGAAGCAGATAAGATGCATGCTGCTCCTGCCGTCTGAGGAAATGTGCATAATTGAACTGCCGATGGCTTTGTCAGAAGCTACTGAGAGGGATTAGATGCGTAGGTCGGCCTGATCTAGTCATTAATATACATCTATGTATTAGAAGTTGGTATTCAAACAATCGCACAAGAACACGATCTCTATGGGCCAGTGCACAAACAAAAACAGGTCCAGACTTCCTCCAAAGTGCATTAGACATGTACAAATGTGTTTGACTGACAGCGGGTAATTCAGCATCTACATTTCTGGAGAAAGAAAAGTTCATCTGAACTGACCGCATTTTCGGGTTCACTGCTCTGCATTTTGCCTCTCAGAGCACATTTTGAAGTTTTGCTCTTCTATTTCCGTAGGTGTATCTGGCACCAGGTTTCGCTTTACTCCCAACGGCGACGGACCAGTGCACTACAAAATCCTCAACTATCAACAGGTGTCTCCCAACAAGTACAAGTTTATTGAGGTGGGCTCTTACAAGGACAGCCTGACGTTGAATGTTGGTGCTGTGCGTTATCGCCTCCAGGATGATCACTTTCCTAAGTCCTCCTGCTGGCGCCCCTGCAGACACAACGAGATGAAGTTCAAGCGGGACGGGGAGTGCTGTTGGAGCTGCCTGCTGTGCCAGCAATTCGAGTACCTCCAAGACGAGTTCACCTGCACCGAGTGCCCTAACGGCACCAAACCCTCGGCAAACCTCACCGAGTGCACCGACATCCAAGTGAGGTACCTGCAGCCCAACACGTCCAGCGCTATATCGGCACTCGTGTTTGCGACCGTCGGCGAATTTGCCACGGTGTTCACGGCCTGCGTCTACGTCAAGCATCGAGATACTCCTGTGGTGAAGGCCTCGGGACGTGAGCTGAGTGGTCTTCTCTTGATTGGAGTCTTCATGTGCTATGCACTCACCTTCCTGTTTCTGACCCCACCTTCTACTGTCATGTGCGGCTTGCAGCAGTTCCTGATGGGGATTGCATTCACTTTATGCTACGCGTCCGTGCTGGTCAAAACAAACAGGGTGTACAGGATCTTCACCTACGGAAAGACCACAACCAAGAGGCCCAATTTTATCAGTCCCTTGTCGCAGGTTGTCATCACACTGATCCTTGTCTTGGTCCAGGGGTTTCTTTCTATCACCTGGCTGGCTGCCGTGCCTCCAGGCTCAGTCAAACATTACCCAAATCGGGAGGAAGTGCAGATAGTCTGCAATGCGTTCCTGACATCAACGTCGCTCCTCGGACTAGCGTTTCCACTCGTTCTGCTTGTCCTATGCACGGGGTTCGCTTTCATGACTCGCAAGATCCCGGGACATTTTAATGAGGCTAAGTTTATCGGATTCACCACGTACTCGTCTTGTATTGTGTGGCTGGCTATGATCCCCGTATACGTGTTGACCGTGTCAAATATTGAACTACGGATTGTGTCCATGTACATAGCGATCAGCCTCTGTGCGACAGTGTGTCTTGCCTGCCTGTTTGTACCCAGAATCTATTTGATTCTGATACGTCCAGAGAGGAACGTTCGAATAACCATCAGTACCGGGCCACGCAAAATGAAACTGACCGGCTCGGTGTATCCCAACTCGTCTAGTAACATCAGCAACCACAGCCCATATTCGCATGTACCGGATCAGGGACGGAACAACACTTTGTGACAAGTATGGGGAATGGAGCATCTTCACTGGCAATGGAGTCAAGTCGGTCCAAAGACGGGGGCAGGATTCCCTTGTAAACGCACTGACTTGGACCCATTCAGAAACGGGTTTGAAAGTTCAGTCAGAAACGGCTTGATCTGGTCCGAATGGCTCACTTTGCCGTTAATTAAATGAAATGTAGATACAGGGTGGCAAAAACTACACATCAATGTGACAGCGAACTTTTTTCTTACAAGTGTTTGTTGTGTGTTTGATCAATTATACTGCCGGACACCTTCTGGGCATGAGCTTGGGCAATCAGTCTCTGTCGCACATGGCCTCGGCAGCAAATTAAACAAAGTGGTTTCTTGCTAAAGAACTACACTTTTCTGATATGGATTGTATTAAAAACCTGCTCAAACTTGCACCAAAACCAAAACGTGAGGATTCACCCATACCATTTTAATACAGAGAGGCAGAAAAAAAAAATGGTCAACCCTAA